CTGGGACACCTCCGTGTCCAAAGAAGTGTGAATCTACTCCACCCAAAACTGAACCCTGAAACGCCACTAATGTCTGAGACGGACATGAACATCGAGGAGCAAACTACTGTGAAAAAACCACCAGCAGTGGACGTGCAGATATGATCTTTGAGATTATGACTGTTAATCGAGTTGATTGAAGCAATGACTTTAGTTTAATTGCGTTGATGCAAGAGTGCATATTATGTTTTATGCTCATTAATGAATGAGATATTTTCTTTTGTATAAGAGTGAAAGGGCTATCTGGTTGTAAGATGTTATTTTATTTATTGGATTTTGTTAAAAATAGTTTAGTAATAGCTAAAAGGGGAGATGTAAAGATATGAGTAACTATCTTTGGTAACACCGGTTACGGACCTAAATACACGGGGACATAATTTACGGTATACAACATGGCTACCGAAATAAATAGCTTTGAACGAAGCATTCACTTATTATTTTACAGGGTTAGGGGGAAATTTAACATGGGTTGTCTATTTGCAGATGCAGGTTTTAACCCCACGCTCACTGATTAACTGGCTTTTGATCACCCCTCTTTTTTTTTACTTATTTCAGTGTAAAGAAGGCCCTGAATGGCAATGCAAACAGTCTTTGAGTTTGCATTATTTGTTTCTTAGCACCAAACTTATGGAAATGGTGAGAAAACACGCGTTCACATCAGTCTTTAGCGTCACATTTTTCCATTTTAGCCTGTAAGGAAACTTGTTTTTTCACTTACTGAGAGGTTAGAAGAGGCGATTGTGTTGTCGTAAGAGGCAACTAACTAGATCTGCTGGTCAGGCATGCATGCCATTGTACTACAAGGGTTTGCATAGATGTTTATGTCAAACACCGTATTCGAATATTTAGCTGACACTCACAAACAACAACAACAACAAATAACAACAAACAAAAACAAAACAAAAAAAAACCGAAACGAAAATAGTCAACCATGTCATCGTAACTGAACGGCATGTTCAGACGCGTCGCCCGACTAGAAATGGTTGCTGGGAAACGATTCAAACACTGGAATATCTATGAATGTAAACAATATACAAAAAACCCAAACCAAAACAACTACCTTCTGATCAAAACAATATGTTTCCTCCGAGAGGCGGTGAAGGTACCCTAGTGCTACGCCGCCATGTCGTCCATTTGAAGTCCCAGAGTCTTTGTGGGCATGGGTGACTGAGTGAGTTGGGTTTTACATCGCTTTTAGCAACATTCCAGCAATATCACATCGGGGAGACACCTCATTTAAACAGTGAGTGAGTGAGTTTTCTGGATCTTCATGGGTCTGTTTAAACAGTAAAGCACTAACAGTGAGCGGAATATATATTCTGTGCACGGGGAGTGGAGAGCTCACATAAAGTCATTTGCTGCTTATAATCACTTTAGGGAATATCGTTTTGAAAACTGTTTGGTGTTTTTAGTGACATATACATGTTCGGGCTGTAGACAGACTTTCAAATATTTTATCATGCCCGATATTGTCTGAATCCCAACACATGGAAATGGACAACATTATTTACATCAATTAACACTTTTAACCTGTGTTTATATTGTCATTCATTGACATGTTGTTTTTTCTTGTACGTTTTCTTTTCGTTCCCATGTACTATGTTTCTATACACATGATATTACTTGCAATTTAAAGGCTTCTTGGAACTCCAAATGATTTAGGCAAGCTTTTAGAAAAACGGATTGTTTTGTGTTGAATCAGCTAGTTTTTCAATCTGAGGTGAGACTGTAATATATATCTGTCTGCTATACCTCGACAAGCTGTTTGTGGGTTCTGTAAATCTGCGAGTGGTTAAAAAGCAAGCAATCACCGGACCCAAAAGGTTACACGAACAGTGGAACGTTTAATCCAGTAAGGCAGTACTTTGAGTCTGACACCATATAGCTGAAAAGGTGCTGAGTGCGGCGTAAAGCAAAAAATTAAAAATACCGAGTCTGATAGTTATTACGGACCTTTGGTAAAATGAAATGTACAGCCAAATTCTTTTTGCCCCCAATTAGTGCAAAGATTCTGCAAAAACGTTGCAGAGAGGTTCCCGTCCAATGAAACTATGCCGTTTCTAATGTTTTCCAGTTGACGGAGCTGTCAGCGCTTGGGGGTCGTGGGGCACGTTGGTATGTTCACAGACATGCGGCTCCTCGGCCACAGGAACCAGGACTCGAACCCGAACCTGCACCAACCCTGCTCCAGCTCACGGAGGAGCGGACTGCTCAGAGCCTCTTACAAGCACCACCAGTCAATACTGTGGTTTCTCACAGTGCCCAGGTGAGGTGATTGGTTGGTTGGTTTGTTGTTTTACGCCGCACTCAGCAATATTCCCCCTATATGGCTGTGGTGAAGTGATACATAGACTTATGCTAATGATCTAATGACGTGGCCGGAATGGCGGATGGTAAAGATTTTGTCACATTTAATTTTAGTAGCTTTAATTTTGTGTGATATAAAGGAAGCCTGTTAAACATGTTATATTCAAAATAATGATTATAAAAAAACATAATATAATATGGTTATGATGATCCTCTGGTGATGCATGTCAAGAATCATGATGAAAGTAGGAGTTTCCATAACTGTTTGAATATATATATCTATCTATCTATATATATATATCTATATATATCTATATATCTATCAAATAACTGTTTTGAAGCGTGCCTAGAATCTCAAAGTTGACCTTTCAGTGAACTGTTCTAACGGTTGGATGACTTAAAATCAATAGATGTCTCTGTTGATTTGCATATATGTGCATTCTTACGGTATACGGAATGCTGGTATGTCATTGAGGACTATTGTAGGAGATGTTGCATAGGGTATTGCAAAAGAGTATCAGCTGAAAACTTCATCCAAATAATGACGTTAAGGAGCGTCAGCGTTTAGGTCGACCACGAGTGACCACTACTAGGAGAGAGAAACAACCCTTCTGAAAATCCCTTCTGCGTCGCCGTTTGTCCAACAGAACAGTCCCAAATCGCCTAAAATGCCAGAGTATAGAGCCTATTAGACATCCGTTGTTTTCCCCAGAGTACCAAGCAATATAACTAGCTTGGTGTCAAGCTCAACGTCACTGGATTTGAGGTCATAGGGAAAGGTCCACTCGTCACATGATGTAGGATAGCGTTTATACACTGTTTATTGCCCATATCACGAGGGGTATACATGTTAATGTACGCTTTGGTAGCAATACAGAGTACAGGGTACATCAGGCCGTGATATATACTATCCATCAAAAGTTCAGACTCACCAGTGTAAATGTAGCCACTTATAATTATTTCAGTCAACTGTTCTATACTAGATTTTGCAAAATATTTCATACAGTTTGAAGGTATTGTTTCCACACGAACTGATGTATTGTAAAACAAATTCGTAACGTTGAAAAGATTATTATTGTCATGAGTTCAATAAATGATGAAACTCAGTGAAAATTGGCGAATTCTTAACAAAACTTTATACCAAAACGCAGCTGTTCACATGCACAAGTTAATGGAGAAATTCATCTTCGATGTAACCATATATAAATAAACATAACATATAGTGAGTGTTTTAAGTGAATCTAAACTTTTGATGGGTAGTACATATACAACGAATTTATCTTACCATCATTTCTACTGCTTGTCTGTTTTACGTGGGCAATAAAAAGTATGTAATTTATGATGAGACAAATTTCCAACCATTTTGTACTCGAAGACACATCCAAAAACTAACATTTTTTCTATTAAATGGTTAATAATTTAACTCCAAAATATTTGAAGCGATCTCGTCCCTAAGGTATCTGACACTACAAACTACAGTTTCCGAGACCGTTTGAAGCTCCAAACTATCGATAGTAAAAGTCCAAATTATACCAAGTCATTTGTCCCAGATGCAGTAAGATTGTGGAATTCTTTGTCTACCGATTATAGAGAATCTGATACTTTGGGTAGTTTTAAGAAACAGATTAATAATAATAATAATAGTCAAAACTACAGTAACTTCAATTTAAACTCTCAATCAAAATTCTGACAGATTATCCATTCACGCCTCAGGCTCGGTTTGCAGCGATTTCAACGCACATAAATATCAACGATTTATATCTTCAAATCCCTGTTGTTCTTGTGGCTATTGTTACGAAGATCCAATTCACTATTTCTTTTCGTGCGTAAATTACACTGACATAAGACATAAAATGGACTTCTATACTAAAAGATATGACATCAAATCAATACTATACGGCCACTCTAATGGATCTACTAAGGGTAATCTTGAATTATTAGAATCTATCCATTCTTTCATTGTAAAATTGTCAGGCAGATTTGTGTTGTAATAGTAAAACGAAATTGCACTAACTATTACGTATTTTCGACACTAATGGTTCTAATGTTAAAAGTGACTATATTACAGTTTTTTGATTGATTACAGTTTCCAGAAAGCTATTTTGTATTGTTTGTTAATATAATGCTTTTCTCCTCACGATTGTTATATCTATAATTTATCTGTATTCCGGAGCTGTATTCAGATAAGCAACATACTATTTGTTTACCAAAACGGTTCCTTTTGAAATAACTATGTTTAAACCAAAACATGTAAACACAATCCTATATAAGAACTACAGTTGCAGTGTGTGCGTGTTTGCGTCAGCACATCTATGCCATTAGACTGAATCGTGGCATAGCGTATTAGACTTGTGGAAGTCGCGGTTGCTGAGCGGGATAGGCGGCTGACTTTGTGTGCTGGCGATTAGGTGCCTGACCCTAAGGGTGTGGGTTCGAATCCCGGATGGGACACAACCCAACAAAAGTACTAAAATATGTACTTTGCTAAGAACGTGTTATCCCAAATATAACATGTGTTACGTTACAGTTAATATTTTTTCATTAAAGTGATTTACCAGAAAGTTATAAAACAGTTTCGCGGAAGCACTAAAATAATATATTCTTCACCTCTAGTAAACGGTGGAGTCAGCAGCTGGAGCTCTTGGAGTGGCTCCTGTACACAAACCTGTCGAACATCTCATACTGTTTCCAAAACCCGTAGTCGAACCTGCACGAATCCATCTCCAGCTTACGGTGGATCTTTCTGTTCAGAGACTCTTTCAGAAACGTCTGTCTTCAACTGCGGCCTGCCTGCATGTACAGGTAGACATCTGTATTTATATTAACAATACTTTGATCATATTCGTATATTCGCACAAGAACAAAATTACTGCGTCTGATATCCTTAAGAAGTGTAGTCTGAGAAATATCATCAAGCCAATAGAGTTTAGAAATATTAGCGCTGTCAGGGAAGCCTAGTGAGTTAAGCGTTCGCTCGTCCTGGTTCGATTCCAAACATGGCTACATTTCATGAAGCTCAATTCTGGTGTAAAACTGGTGCAATATTACTAAAAGCGACTTAAAACTAAAGTCACTCACTCATTCACTGGAAAATTTAGAAATAAGGGAACGAATAATTTTATTTCTGTTATTTGTTTTCCGCTTTCGAAAAATGAACGTTGTGGAACCGTTCAAAATTCGGTTACCCCTTTGGAAATAAAATAAACGAAATAGCCAAAATATATACTCTTCCAAAAAAGAAACGCATCATGAAAATAGCAATTTCATGATGCAATGAATTAAAACGTGATTCATTTTACAAAAGGTTTTGCTCTGTTTATGAGTCCTATGGTGTTTATGTTTTGAAACATCACAACAAAACCCATCCGTAAAATACCCGTATTTTCAATTTCGGCGTGTAGTGTCACAGCATACACAATTCACATGCAATGCTCGTGAAAGTTGGGGATCAGATAGTCTCAATGATGGGTATAAAAGGTTGATCGCTGTCTGGATTTGGAATATTGTTGACGAACGCAAAATGCCACGTCTAAGTGAAGCCAACCGTCATATCGCCATTGGTTTGCTTGAAGCTGGCCAGTCTCAACGTGCAGTTGCCCGAAGCATGAATGTTCACCTAAGCACCATTTCAGGGCTCTGGGAGAGATATTGCCGGCAGAATTCGGTAGCAGATGCCCCTCGTAGTGGGCGACTTCGAGCGACCACTGAAGCGCAGGATCGCTACATCCGGGTACATCACCTGCGTCATCGAACAGCTACGGCGACCAGTACCGCTCGACAAATACCCGGATTGAGGAGGCTTTCTGCACAGACCGTCGGGAACAGGTTGAGAGAGGCTGTTTTACGTGCCAGAAGACCTTATTTTGTCCCTGTGCTTCGACAACAACATCGTCGACATCTAGTTCAATGGTGCACCAACGTTCAGGCCTGGAACCTACCGAATTGGCGTAGAATCTGGTTCAGTGATGAATCACGATTTCTATTGGAACGACGCGATGGAAGAATGCAGGATGTACAGACGTCGAAGTGAACATTTAGCCGACGCCTGCGTTTCCCATGTGGACAGATTCGACCGGGACAGTGTTATGATGTGGTGAGCGATCACCTGCCGTAGGAGAAGTGATTTGGTGATGATCCAGGGCAACCTGACAGCTCAACGGTACTTTGACGAAATCCTACGCCCACACCTCCTTCCAATCATTGATCGCCAGAGGAAGTTGTTTCAACAGGACAATGCCAGGCCCCACACAGCACGTCACACTAGAGACGTCCTCCAGAACCACAACATCAATGTGCTCCCCTGGCCATCAAGATCACCGGACTTAAACCCGATCGAACATCTGTGGGATGTCCTGGACAGACGGGTGCGACGCCGTAACCCTCAGCCCCAGACACTTCAGCACAGGCACTACAGGCAGAGTGGGCTGCGATTGGGCAACACGAGATTCTGAGACTAATTCGTTCGATGCCGAGGCGATGCCGTGCAGTTCTGGATGCCCACGGTGGTCACACGAGGTATTGACTTCATTGCCACCACACGTCTCCATGTGACACTCAAACTGACTTTCCTCAAGTTGGTGCTAAAGACTGATTTCCCCAGTGTGCAATATTGCTATATTTCATTGACTCATAAAGACTACAAGATGTTTCAAAATTAACATAAAAATACAGTTGAAATTCCTATATGCGTTTCTTTTTGGGAGAGTATATAATGTCTATTCAAATAGAATGTCTTTGTATTTCGGGTATATTGATCATCATATTTTATAGCAACACCACCAAACTTTGGCACCTGCAGCACCACCTGTTCTGGGACAAACGTTGTCTGCAATAACGGATATTGTGTGTGTGACATCATGTACGTCAAACTTGGCAGCAGTTGTGTCCAGGGTAAGTATTTATCTCACATGAATATCCTTTTATTTTGTTGTTTATGACCACCCATGGCATATGTATTCAGTGTGTAATTTAATTACAATACGCTAACACAAGACTTAGGTGTTGCTTTGTGTTATAAGGCTCCTGTGTCCTCGTACCACAGACTCGATTTTCTATGTCTGATATTTGTTCCTTATTCCATGTTTAAGGTTAATAATAGAGTCCCCCATCTGAGCAATCAACTCGTCGTTGACAGTATTGTTACGGAACCACGCCGTCGGGGCACGATATGATGTATAGTCAACCAGGTCACGATAACCACAGGGAATTAGTTGGATGGGTCCCATATGTTCATCCAAAGCTTTCAAAAGCCGTGAACACTTACATCCACTTACATTTTCAGTTGTGGTGATATTTGCCCTTCGGGGTACGTAGATGTGGGTATGTAAGTGCATTTTCAACGGGGACATTAATGTATTAATATCCTGAGGTAGGGCAGATGTGTTTACCCTTGATTTTGTTTAAAAATTAGTGAATAGTGTATGCATGCAATTCCCTTTGAACGTTACAATAACTCGATCGTCCTTCAATTCCCTTTGAACGTTACAAAGACTCAATCGTCCTACGGGTACCGCTTAGACTGTCCTTTATTGAAAAATGGTCTCACAAGCCAAGAGGGAAATTGGTGAAAATCAAACTACGCAGTTAGGACATGAATGAACCAAATCAGCGAGCCTTATCCACCTGCCCCCCTCTTTGATTGCCGAAGACCACTTCTAAGTCTGGAACTTCACGGGTATCTAGCCCAAGAGGGTGAATATTGATAAGGTAAAGGGCTGTTAATACTCTTTTCGAACGTTTCGCTTCTCTTTTTAGATTGCGGTGGATCTGGATATGGATCAAGCATGACGCTCTTTAACAGCACATTAGCTGTGAACATCAAGGCTGTCTACAACATTGAAACAATAGAGGAATGCATCGATCTGTGCCTGTCAGACTCAAATTTTCTTTGTATTACCGCGTATTATGAATTCAAGGTTAAGATTTGCTTCCTGAGCACAACAGCTTGGTACCGTGTACAACGGTTCTCGAGTTACGGCGGCTCGTTTCAAATGATTATCCGTAATTGTGCTTAAGGTATGGTTCCCATACTTGGAGGTCGTTATTCGACCAAACGGATCATAATTCTATCTGCATGTAAACTGCTGCGTGGTAGAAAAGGGTAGTCACACCCGTAAAGACTAGTAGAAAAGTGATTACTCTTCAAGGACATATGTTAAGCACCTTTATTACTCACGTGGTAAATATACCGGTTGGTTGATTGTTGTTTAACGCCGCACTCAGCAATATTCCAGTTATATGGCCACAGTCTGTAAATAATCGAGTCTAGACCAGATATTCGAGTGTTCAACAACATGAGCATAAATCTACACAATGTGGAGACGATGACATGTGTCAACCAATTCAGCGAGTCTGACCACCACATCTTGCGACAAGCTTGGGTCACCGAAGACGGACTCTAACCTGGATCTTCATGGGTATAAAGATACCGGAGGTGTGATTGTTAATCCGTACCTGACACGTTACCTTGGCAACTGCATTTTTTAATTTACAAAGAATCATTCAATTTTACAACTTTTTACTACCGCAGTTACGAACAGAAAGAATCTGGTGAAATGTGAAACATTGTCAGACAAGAATAATCAATGTTCGCATACCTATGTGAAAAAATAAATGTGCTTTATGTAAACAATAACGTTATCTTGGAGAAAATGGATTTTTCAGTACATACCAACACACAATATACATTCAATACATACATACAGACAGTTCCTTCTCTTCAAGGCTTCCTCGTTCAAGCTCACACACGGTACATAGTTAACATGTTAGTGAGTTGATACTGAGCATGACGCTCGCTCACATGTTGTCATTAGGATTTGTTTTTTAACGCCACACACACTTTAGCAATTTTCTGTCTCTTTGACGTCGATCTGTAACGTGCAAATTTGGACCATACAATCCAATGATTAACATTATGAGCTTGGGTCTGCGCAATCGTCATTGGAACTAAGACTCCTCAGGAATCTCAGACAATAGATTAATCTTTACTTGCTGAGGGTAAAGATATATTTACAGCTTTGACCTCTGTCAAACAAGAAAACCTTGATTCTAAAAAATCATGTCAGATTCATTATCCCGGCTCCAGGCATTTCAAAATGTCACTTCGAGTCAATCGATCATACTCTAAATCTTAGAACTTTACAACGATCTTTTCACTGGCAAATGTGGCATCTTTTGTTGGTAACCAAATCATGTAGGCATAGCCGATGCTTCAGCTGCAGCGGCTCTTGACAAACCTTTATCGCCACTGCTTATAACAGGCCCTCGTGACTTTGCGAGGATTAATGATGTTAAGAAACATATATAAACTTTGAGATGACCCCCGACTCGAAATGCTTCACAGTACAATATGTTATGTACTGTTTAGCATTTCAAGTCGGTGGTCATCTCAAAATATATTTTTTCTCTTTAATCTTCGCAAAGACACGAGGGCCTGTGCTGCTTATCCCGTACAGTGATTTCAAGCAAACTATGCAAACGGGAAAGAATAAAGAAACTTAACGAATTCAGGCGCGTAGAAAGCAAATTTTTCGTGTAAGCCTGATAGGTTGCAAAGCTTTATATTTAAATAGCATTGAATGCTTGCCCAACTTTTTTTATCAACAATCACGTGTAAGCCCGGGCTGTTTTCTATAATGGTAGCTACGCCCCTGGAATTTAAACCAACAATCGGTAATACCTACTTGGGTTGTCAGTCAAGACATGACGAAATAATTTTGCGACGCGGTCGTACTGGCCACAGTCGGTTTACCCACGAGTACCTGTTTAAAAGAGGTGGGACTAACCTCCGGTGTGTATACCCCTATAGCCCTTTTATGTTTTAAATAATACTTGTTACAGCGCGTGATCTAAGTTGTAAATAAAATAATATTGTGATCTTAAAATGTGTAAAGTAAACATTGCTTTGGAATGTAACGTTGTTTTATTATAGATTTGTGTATATGTTTAAAGTTGGTGTCGTTGCTGTATCGCTGAAACAATACCGATGCGACGTTAAATCTTAGCTCACTGACTCACTCATTTAAGCTCCCTGTCCTATTAGTCGCCACTTTAGACCAATTTACGGTTTATATAATGATATAGGATATACTTGGAGTGAGTGAGTGAATGAGTTAAACATTTATTGTCACACAGGCAATATTTCAGCCAAGTAGTGACGAGAACAAGGTTAGTATATATGATACCAAAGTATCACAGAAAGCAAGTCTAAAAACTAATATCCAATTCTAAAAATGCAACTCGATATGACATATATTAACATTGAAACACGGGCTATGGACCACCAACAACCAAATCTAGGCCACCTTACGGGGGTTCATGGGGACTTATAGTACTTCAGCTTCCTGCATGAATCTCCAGCAGGATTGGATACACTTAGAAGGCAAATCACAAAAATGATGTGATGGTTGTACATATGTTCAAAGTAAATACTGAACATTTTAAAAGTTGCAAAATATATCCTTACATTAAGAAAGGGTGTGGAAAAGCAAAATGAGCTTAAAAAAGATATTGATAACATTGAGGCACCAGTTTAGAATCTGTCTGATGAACACGTTTTGCACGAGAACCTAACATGTGCGATGAATTTACTTTGGAGAGTAACCTTCCTATTTTTCGTGAAACCCCAAGACAAACATTACACGATTCATGTCCTTCAAGCAGGCCCTGCAAAACCAGCCTCTCTTGACAGCTACCACCCGCCTCAACCTTACCAGCCCTGTCCCTCTCCTCGCCAGAAAAGAAGATGTTTTTCTTCCACAGTTAGCCTGCTGCACTGGGTGCTTGGGGCTTTGGGCACCATCGAAGAAAGTAACTCAAGAAGATGGGTCTCAGGTAGGAATGCTGAAATGTTGGCTGCATGACGACAGAAGTGTGTAGCCTTGTGGGCACGATCGCCGTCAAGATGACAATAACGTGCTCCAGTAAACAGTGAGTAAGAGACTTTATATGGCGGCGGTCCGTGAATAATCGGTTCTGGGCCTGACGATCCAGTGATCAACATCATGAGCATCGATCTACAATACTAGGATACGAGGAGATGTGTCAACCAAGTAAGCTTCTTACCACAAGCATGGGTTGCTGAAGACCAATTCTAACCCGGATCTACACGGGTATAATAAAATAGGGCGATGTGAGCTCGAGGTCGGTCATCAGTGTCGATAAAAGACCGAACTCAGACACATTACACCGACTCCGAGCCGACCAGTCCTTGTTGTACCCATTAATGCCGAGCGCCAGGCAGGGACCAACAAGTACCATATTTTAACGTCTCTTGGTATGACGCCGCCGGGGATCGAACCCGCGCCCTTTCGCTCTCCGGGCGGATGCTCTAACCACTACACCACGGAGGTGGTCAACTCGGTGTTAGACTCAAGTTCAAATTTGTGTCAATGGAAAAAAGTTCATCAAAATATGAAAGCTATCGAGGGAACACTGCCAGGAAATGATAGCAGTATAAAATTTGTAAATGTCGCCGTTATAGTTATTCGAGTTCTGCTCTTGACGATTTCGAATTTAACGGGACGGACAGAACCCTTTTAATTACACTTCTCTCGTTAAAGTTGTCCTGTGGCATGGTGACATCAAATAGTTGTAGTTTTCCGTCGATAGAAATTCGGGACTCAAATCAGCATCATTAACCACCATTTCATACACGGAAAGTCACACATTGTGCCCATGTGGGGATTCGAACAACATTTAGTACCCCACCGCCCCATTTCATACACGTGTCTGTTGACCAGTTACAAGTGAAGGTAACACTGGAGACCCTAATCAACTGGAGTGTCGCCAGCAGCTGCGTCTCCCAACAGAACAGCAGCTCTGATTGACAAGACCAATCAAAGGCTTACACTATAAATGCACACTTCCTTTGAAAGTAGGGTTGTAAGTCGCGAATGTTTATTAGGTCAAGAAACATGTTCTTTTAAAAGAAAGAAAAAACATATGCTCTACATATCCAATACATGTGACATATTTTTGGTGTACAACTGAATATATATACTTATTCACAAAAGAAGTGAACGAGTGAGTGAGCTTAGTTTTACGCCGCACTCAGTATTAGTCCAGCTATATGGCGGCGGTCTGTAAATAATCGAGTCTGGACAGGACAACCGAGTGACCAACAGCATGAACATCGATCTGCGCCATTGGGATACGATGACATGTGTAAACCAATTCGGCGAGCCTGACCACCCGATCCCGTTAGCCGCCTCTTGCGACAAGCACGGGTTACTGAAGATCAGTTCTATCCCGGATCTTCACGGGTCATTCACAAAAGTAACTAATCATCTTAGTATAACGATATCTGATTACGATATTTTGATTTTTAAAACATTAAATAATCAGAATCTCCAATGGATCTTATTTTAGCGTAGTAATCAGTACAGTTCACAATGTCGAAAATTAGTAATCGCAGATTTAAGTCCTTGTTGATATTAAATACGTACACCAAGATGTATAAAAACACCACGACGGTTAAAATCGATTTTAATATCCCCGAGTCGTCTATATGAGTGGTCACCACAGCTTCGTTTTCAAATGTTATTTAAGCACTCAGTGAGTAAGCTTTTATGCCGCTTTATACAACATTCCAACAACATCACGACGGGAGACACCAGAAGTTGGATTCATACATCGTACCCTTGTAGTGAATGGAACCCGGGCTGTCGACTTGACTAGAGAACGCTATAAACCAGGCGGGCTCATCGAGTCTGCTATGTTGCCAACTCTCCCTGAGAACGATGACCGCAAGGTGTAATTATAGTGATTTATCTTTATCTACATGGCATTCATAGCCTTTGGCCTTGGGAGCCGTGCCTTTTTACACTGGCCAGAAGGGTACACCAAGTACGAGATCTAGACTACCTACCTCCTGTTTGACTTCTGTGGAAGCCAGGTTGGCTGAGTGGGTAAGATCGCTGGCTTTGTGTGCTGGCGATTAGGTGACCAAGTCTGAGAGCAATGGTGCGAACTCGGGATGGGACTCAATCCAAAATAAGTACTAGAATCCGAACTTTACTGTGAAAATGTAATTCCAAATGTAACTTATGTGTTACGACGTGAAATGATTACAAGGTGCCCCTATTTCAGTTTCTACCCATCGGTGGAAATAAATGCCCGAATGTCATAAAACATACTCCAACCATTACATACATAAAATAGTCTATATTTTATCAGAAGTATGTTTCCGAAGCAAAACGACTCGTCATTAAGTAAAAGACAAAGCTTGCGTAGCGTGTCTTCGAAAAGCTACCAGTCCACGTGAAAGCTCCGTACATTACTTGTAACACAACTTGCAGCAGGCGTCTGTAGCGACATTACATGCGACATTTTTGGTTAAATAACAGGAAACGGGGGCATAATTTGAGGCATGACTAGGTTGTTAAATAGCTTTAAAAAATCACATTGAGTTTATATAAACACAGGTATGCAGGGATCGTGGGAAACTTTCTTCATATATCTCTGCCCTTGCATTTGAGAAAACTAAGCAAAAGGGCCAATGCTTTCAACTTCAGTTCTTTGTATAACGCTAATCTGATATCGTTCTATAACGGACAAATGGCCAATTCCCTTCCACTGATTTACGTACCTGAAAGAATGTGTGTGTGTGTATTTTATTCAGAAATCCAAAACTACCAAAAGGCACCGGTTCACCACCAGACCTATTTATGTGCCATGTTTGGTGAAGAAACATTGAACAGTTTTAAAGTTATGCTCCGGAAAAGACAAATGTGCACGCACGGTCCATTTTAATACCCCCGCAAAACGCGTTGCGGGGGATAACAAGTTCGACTTCAACTGAAATTGGTGGTAGTGCTTTTTTCCGGAGCAGAATTGTAAAACCATTCACTATTTCTTCACCAAACTTGGCACATAAAATTGGTAGAAAACTGATGGTTTAGATTGTTTGTGGCTGTACGCTTGAATGGGGTTCAAGTACTGTAAAATTAATTCCCCTACCTAAAATATACAACTCTCATAGTCACGAAGTGGCTGAAATACTGCCGATGTGACTTGTAAATCACTCACTCTCTCTAATACCCCAAATAACATCAAGGAGACTTGCTTCTCATGTGTACTTGCTGAAGGTAATGTGACGCGCACGCACGCACGCACGCACGCACGCACGCACGCACGCACGCACGCACGCACACACACAACCACACTACCAGAGTGAAGAATATTTGGGATCTTAACATTTGGAAGAAGAGTAAGAACATTTTTCTTAAAGCCGTCCCTCGTCATGGCGAACATCAGGGTGGGTACCCCACATGGGTACAATGTGTGAAGCCCATTTCTGGTGTCCCCCGCCGTAATATTGCTGGGACATTGCTTAAAGCAGCGTAAAACCATACTCACTCACTCACTCACTTTAAAATGACAAAAACAGTTACACAATTCGTGAACATCATTATTTTGGGGGGCTGAAGATGAGAGAAACAAAACAACATAGATGACCGTACATAATGTAGCTTCTTCCGACGAGAATCGGTTGCTGGGGTCTAAATCTGCCCCAGAACCCTCGCAGAGGACCTCACCGGGCTCCCTATGTTGAAGGAAGGACAATTTGTTCAATCTTGTTCATATCATCCTCCGGAAGCCTGGATGTTCCACTCGTGAATATCAAACATGCATCGTTTCCGTTCGTCCTCGCGTATCAAGTAATCCACGCTGTACTTGAATGGAAACCCTACCCTCAAAACTCTCAAAGAAAGCTCATGTTCTGAACTAACATTATGTCGCTGCTAAAAATAAAAAAACTGAAAAACTAAGACGTCATTTGCTAAAGTTCAGATAACATAAGAAACCCTCAGCAGTTTGGAACAGGCTTGAAAGATAAGTATTTGTGTTTCATGTATCTGTCACAAGTTCAACAGGTTGCGAGACCTTAAATACACCTACAGTCACCGTTGTTTGAAATCTGGGCACTACTGACAAGTCCGAGTCTGCCTTATATTTAATTTTTTTCTTGAAACGTTGGGTGATCGACACAGACAACAGCGACTATCCTCCGTCGACATGTTCTTGTCGCAGTGTTGTTGGGTCGAGCTGATTTAGCCCCCAGCTGTAGGCGGAAAACTGTAGAACCAGCGCGTGCTCAAATTGTCGCAATTTGATGGCAAGCTGAACACTTCTGATATTCAGTTCTACCCAATTTGTAGAAGTATTTCCTGTTATTTCACTTTGACCTATAATTATCGTCACTTGTTCTTGACGAACTACAGATGAAATCGTGAGGTGAATTAGAGAGGCCATTTGTACGGCAGCCGGCGAAGGGTAAACATGAACGATATTCTTTGGAAAATCTGCATCTTTTTGTGCCGCGCTTGTTGTTGGTAAGTCAGATCTTTTTATAACGTTCGCAAAATAGTCAATGCGGTGATCCAGTCAAATGTTTCTTTTACTGGCATACATTTTTGTTACATTTATTGGCAAATGTTTGCAAACAATCCAGATATTATTATCTTGTAAGTTCCAATAGATTGATATGGTTGTGAAAATATCCTTGATAAATGTCCAGCTGAGCACTCTAATAATAACTTCGTAAAGAACAACACTGTTTTCCTGAGAGAAAAAAATTCTATCGATAAAGTGTGAAAACATCCCAAGTGATGTATGTTTACGTGCGCGATATTGGACAAGGTTATACCTATTTGATAGTGATACATAAAAACATAGTTATGGTGTACTCGGCATTGTATACTTGACTCCACTTACATTAGATATTTCTTAATGGTATGGAAATGGGTTTCTTCCTTTTCCTTATACTGATCTTCCTTTTCCTTATACTGATCTTCCTTTTCCTTATACTGAAGACAGGATCGGTATGTTTGGTTGAGGGTATTTTGGTCATGTATGTCATACTGATTGGTTTATAGATTCATACACTTATTGTTGTACCCTTCCTGCTTTTAATGGATCTTAAAATGTGCACTTGTCGCAACATCGACTTATGACGACAGAAAAGTAGAAAACCGATACTAGATGATTCTGATACTTCTTAAAAATCGAAGTAGACACATCGAATCACGAAACCGCTATGCCCATGTATGTGTTTACGATGTTTCCAAACCGTTTATTTATTCATGTTAATATAAACCTCAGAAGATGATACGATTTGTATTTCAAGTAACAGAAACTATGAGAAACAACATGCAATCATTTTGTCTGATTATATCTTGTGTCCTAGCCTCCGGTCTGCAGTGCTATGTGTGTGACAACGCAAGGAGCGAGGTCTGTGGAACAACGGTCGACCCAGAGAGAATTAAGGTAATTAGATGCCCTTCAGTATGTCAGCTACATTATCAGGTGATATTTATGTGTGCGAATAAACACAACCCACATTGCTGTTAGCGCTTCACATGAATAGAGTAACACTATGGGACACATATTGTGTTCGTGTGATCAGGCTCGCTGACTTGGTTGATCGGTTCCCATTTGTGTAGATCGATGCTCATGATGTTGATCACCGGATTGTCTGGTCCAGACTCGATTTACAGACAGCCGAGGGTGGCGTTAAATTGTCTAAGGCTGTATGATAAAAGGGATGATTTCAACTTTCCAATAGACACCTTCAGTTTCTTGTCAAGCAATATTCCTACAGCTCCAGCTTTTGGTGTTTACATTTCCCTTTGAGGTACAATTGAGCATGTTCTTTTTACCAAGATTTCAAAGAGTGTCATACTGCTTAAACCAACACAGACTCATGACTAAGCCAGAGTGAGTGAGTTTGGTTTTACGCCGCTTTTAGCCATATTCCAGCAATATCACGGCGGGGAACACCAGAGATAGGCTTAACACATTGTACCCATGTGGGGAATCGAACCCGGGTCTTCGGCGTGACGAGCGAACGCCTTAACCACTAGGCTACCCCACCGCCTCTGATAAAGCCAGAACTGAACAACCGACTATGGCTTTAGCAGAAATTTCTTATTGATGTGGAAGGGATTTTGTGGCTTCTATCAACGAGAGGCCACTTAGTGGTTCAGTTGTTTGACGGGAATATCATCGTATCCTGACTGCCTGGATCGATGCTCCTAATATTAACCTCTAGCTTGCTCTGATTCAGATTTCCATATCTGGGATATAACTCAGTACTACATTCACATTCGTTTCAGTATCGACCATTTCAGCAAATGTGACCATACACCTCATCAAACAATACAATAACTCAATAGGCACCTGATGTTCAGCATTACATACAGTAAACTAAGACTATAAGGAACTACCCCGGACCAATTATTATAGTTCGTTACAGCAGTAGCTCATTATACGCACTTTGACTAAAATTTACATTAAGTGCCGAGAAAACATAACTTGTTCCGTTCGTCATAAGCCTGTTCGCTATAAACGGTAGTTCTCTGAATGTCGTTACTCGATCGGTAAATTACTAGTGACATGGAGAATCCGGTTAAGAAATACTCGCGGCAAAGAATGCTGGTCAATAGAAGTAACTAAACATATTGGACAGCTAGTCTCGGTGATATGCTTGATGGCGTGTTATTGTACCCTGAAGCTGTTGGCCGTTGTTCATGTCGATCATTGGACTCGATAATTTCCCGTCTTTAAATGATTGGACAATGGCCGAAGGCGGCCTTTAAATATAATCAACAAAACACCCATCTATAGGAAAAAGGAAAGTTCGGTTTTAGAGGTTACATTGAAAATAGGAGAATAACTGATTGTCATATGATGTTTGATTTGCATATTTAGAAGATGCCATTTGATGAACATAGAGACTTTTATGGGTTTCATCTTCGTTTTATTGTTAAGTACAACGTTTTAGGGCTTGTTCCGGCCCCATCAGTTCTACCTGATGATGGGACCAGAACAAGCTCTGAAACGCTGTATCAAACAATAAAGAGAAGATGAAACTAACCCAGAAAGGTCTTTATGTTCGTGATAGTCATATGGATATACAATTTATTCATTACAATGATGCGAAGTTTCGGTGAAAACTACACACCACCGTCATGCCTCAAGGGCTGTGATGACGGTGTCGTTATCTACAGCGTAACATCGAATTCATTATAATAAAGACATTGTATACCCATAGAACTGTCTCCATTGTTTAATATAAATTTATAAATTTAACCAAAATACGTTTGCATCCATTATCCCCTCTTCCGAATGCGAATGATAACAACCGTGGCGTTGTTGTTTACTGGTGCACTAGAGCCTTGTCCTTGCATGTGTTTGTGACACATGTCTCAGATTGGCCAGGATACCAATGAGTGAGTGAGTGAGTTTAGTTTTACGCCGCACTCAGCAATATTCCAGCTATATGGCGGCGGTCTGTAAGTAATCGAGTCTGGACCAGACAGTCCAGTGATCAACAGCATGAGCATCGATCTGCGCAACTGGGTCAACCAAGTCAGCGAGCCTGACCACCCGATCCCGTTAGTTGCCTCTTACACCACAACCATGGATTACTGAAGATCAGTTCTAACCCGGACCTTCACGGGTAGGCAGTTCGCGAACACGTGGTATCAGAATTACTTTTCAGTGATTCATAATCACAGTATATGGTCGTAATCGAACAGTGGCAGATTCCTAATGATTATGGAATGAGTGAGTGAGTTTAGTTTCATGCCGCTTTTAGCAATATTCCAGCAATATCATGGCAGTGGACACCAGAAATGGTCTTCACACATTGTACCCATGCGGGGAATCGAACCATGGCCTTCGGCGCGACGAACAATCGATTTTAACCAGTTGGCTTCCTCGCCGTCTCTGAGAGTGATGTGACCAGAATACTGCTAATAGCGACGTACAACTCACTAAGTCACTGACGTTCGACATAAATGAACTGGATAACGTTTGTGTGAGTAAAATATACATAAATGCACTATTCCGGTTATAAACCGATGTTGGGAAATATTAACTGAAGACTCCCCCTACATCAGGTTATTTATCCTCCGCACTACATATAGCGTCTTGTTTATATTGATTTCACGTTGATGATTGCCTTGCCCTGAGCGATCAGTAGCTCTTGTGTGACAGCGCAGATAGGTAGCAACGTGTTGAAACCAGATGTCCCTAATCACTGTAAACCTCGCGAACAAGGATGTTCGGCGGAGGATGCGGTGAATCTTGCGATGTTGTTGGCTTTTTACTCAACAAGACGATACAGCTGATGTCGTGTTTTTGTCTATGATGATATCTGGTTCAGTAAGTTTGGGTTTACAGTGGAATCTATCACAGCATATTCTACTCAGCCATAAGAACTGGGTTTTTTTTCTTGTTTTACACCGCATTCAGCAATTATCCGGATATATTACGGTGGTCTGTAAATAATCGAGGCTGGACCAGACAATACAGTGATTGGCATCATGAGCATAAGTGGAATACGATGACACGCATGCCTGACCGACCGAACCCTCTGGTCGCCTTTTTACGACCTGCTCGAAAGATATTGTGATTTTGAGGATAAATGAATAAATAAATGAATGAATTTATAGACCTAGGACCATTTCCCCCAATATATACATGCTGTTTTACAGTGAGAGATATTGGTAAGATTTCTACCACATGTTATTAAGGACAGTTAAGTTACACTTTGAAAGATCTTTAATAATAAGATGTGATTATATTTCATCAATATCGTTGGGATATTAAGAAACACAATATTTGTTACTGAATGCTCATATTTCTAACATTTGGTGTTATTATTATAACAAGTTTTCATTATAAATTTAAATATGTTCGCCCTTTTTCCGATGTCGGACAAAGCTTGCATTATATTGTCACGACACATCTTCGAAGGAGCTGTCAAAGATTTTATTGTTGTATTTATAAACAACGGTTTATTTTTCGTTGCGGGCTGTATACAATCACGTCTATATCACACAAACGGGAGGGTGATAGAATGAGCGCGTCCCACGATAACTCGTCATAGTCTCTGTACATGAGCCTAACCACCCAGCCCATTAATTTAAGTCATCGTGTACGACAGGCCATATATATGAAGGGTAAGTTGTATCTATCCTGGAATCGGTAAAAGAGGTACGCATGAGCTAGCTATAGTCTGTCAACCCTACTTTTGGGACACCCCTGTTGTGAAATATCTTCCAAATAACACCAACTGACCACATGCCATTAACGTATATCTTGATAATCCCCTTTTGACGTAATAAGATATAGTATTAGGCTCCGTCCGTCCGTACGTCCGTCGAATTGGAATATCTTAAGAACCGTTGACTAGATTCTTTTCATATTTGGTACCTAGGTTCATCACGGTATAAGACCTTGACCTTCATTTCAAGGTCACGAGGTGTTTTTAACGTTTTACCCCAGTCCATTTTTGTGACCTTCACTTAATTTTCAAGGTCACGGAAACACTTTGAAGATTTCAGCATGTTAACCTGCATGTTAAGCTTGTCAGCGAGATACTTCAAGAACCATTCACTAGGGTTTTTTTCATATTCAACGCCAAGCTTTATCCAGGGAAGGCGTAGGGCCCAGTCGATTTTGGTGACCTTCACACAATTTTCAAGGTCACAGCGACACTTTGAAGATTTCAGCATATTAAACTGCATGTTAAGATTGTCAGCAAGATATCTCGGACGGTTCATTGGATTTTCTTCATAGACTTTCAAGACTTCACTTGAATGTTTTTCAACAAGCAATTTCTTTATTACTATTTTTACATATTTCATACACTATGACATTCACGTCAAGGTCAAAGTGAGTCTTGAAAATAATTGTGTGTTCGAACAACAAAAGAGCAAGATATCAAGAGAGCTTGACTGGTCATGTTTTTGTTGACATTTAACTTCATCTTAAATTACTATCTTCATTTTCATTACTTTTTAAGTTTGATTTGATAATTTGCGGCGGGGGATAGTGTCACTTTAGTGACAATGCTTGTTAAGATTTCTGTTTGTTTTGGTGTCAAGAGGTGTAGTCGCAGTAAACGTAACATCTTACGGGTTAGGTCACGTGCATGACCTCGGGTCACAGTAGCGTGGGCTTCAGGTTCACATGTCTGTGGTATCAAGGGAACGTCTCAAAAGCATTAAAGAATAATAACACTTACGTTAGTCACCGTCAGACAATCCCGCTTCAATATTAGAGCTACAAGTGTCAGTGTCGTCATTAGAGTCTAGATTGATGGGTTGGACACGTTTTCTTTGTAGACCATCTTTAACCCAGTATTCTTCTTCCACCTTGATCACATGATTGACACATTGCTACCATAATTCTGGTGATAGTATTGCTATTAGATTTGTTGACAACTTGTTCCACGTCTTTGAGTTTGAATGAACAATTTTTTCGTGCAACTGAATCCTTTAAATTGCCCCATATCAGTTCAATTGGATTAAGGTCACAGTGATTGGGCGACAAACGTAGAATTTCATGACCATTCCTTTTCAACATGGTGTCAATCAAGTAAACGGGGTGGTTTGTGACCTAGTATGATATCATACAGTTTAGTTTTAGCAGCTTTAGCTGGAAAGTCGATACCATGAGTGTACGACCAAGAAGTCTCATGTTTTATGGAAGCAGAGGTAGTAGGATCTCTAACACTGTGGTATGGTGCGTTGTCCATCACCATCAAACAACTGTCAGGTGGAGCAGGAAGTAGCTGCTCTGTGACGTATTCTATGAACACCGTTGAGTTCCTCTCTGTGTGATAGTCATGACTATCAGTAGATTTGGATCTGACCTCCAAGTCACATCCTGGTAGGAAACCCAGATGAGACCCTGCGTGTACAATGATAAGTCTCTCACCCTTGCCTGTAGGAATCTTCCTGTTTTCTTTGGGGTCAGCGTGCTGCCACTGATATGAAGGGATGTGGTTCGCATTAATCCACGTTTCATCCAAATAGAATACTTCTTTTTTCGGATATTGTTCTCAAATAATTGGCACAAAGTCTCACGAGATCACTTCCTTCACAGAGCGAAACTTTTGTGCTGGATATTCGTTTAACGAAATCCGAATTTCACTAATAATTTACATATTGTAAATCTCGGTCACGGGTAACCTGCGGGTAACAACTCTGTCCTTCCAAGTAACTTGTAATTATGATCCGGGTTCATACACGTTCATTGCGCTCTGACCTAACCAGTAAGCTGTTACGTTTACTGCGACTACACCCAGTCTCTTGACACCAAAACAAAAAGAAATTTTAATGATAGTTACTTAAGTAACTTTTTCCCCAAGTGACCAACAAAGTTAAAACTATTTTTTCCTATGACGTCAAAGGGGATCATGAAGGTATACGTTAATGGCATGTGGTCAGTTGGTGTTGTTTGGCAGATATTTCACAAAAAGGGGTCCCAAAAGCTGGGTTGACAGACTATATATATAGATGGTCAGACTTCACACGTTTCATTTCATGTAGCTAAGTTTGATCTTGCTGTTCTTGTTAAAATCTGCAATATTCCAACTGCAAAATATCGGTCTATAAATATTTGAATTTTCACTCGACAAAAACAGTTATTGACATTGCCTTCGGGAACACAACTGGGGACACGATGACATGCATCGACCACGTCAGCGACACTGACCAATCCATCTGTTTCTAAGGGCTTTCAATTCTAAGCCCGATCTTTGAGGGTGTGAGTTGTGTAAATATTAATTAATGTGCTCTTTGTTTCAGCCCCATGAGTGCAGTGGCGAAAACATAAAATGTGGAACACAAATACAAGATCCTGCAGAAGACGGTATGTACTCCATAGAGTGAGTGAGTGAGTGAGTGAGTGAGTTGGGTTTGATGCCGCTTTCAAAAGTAGTTCAGTTATATGACGACAGGTCCAATTCATGAACACGAGCACTGTGATGAATTTTTTTATTATTTAACTATAAACTGACACAATCTGCTTCTTGTACATTTTGTAATGTTACAATCGAATCAATTACCCACATATTTTGTGAGTGTGCACATGTGGAAACGTTGTGGCAACAACTGAAAGCCTGAACTGAACAAGATACAGGCACAACATTAATTCTTGAGGCAAAACATATCATCTTTGGATATAAAGAAAAACGAAATGATGTATTAAACCTGATTATCATCGCAACAAAATACTATATATATGCAAAGAGATGTTCTAATTCGCATCCGCAGTTTGTTGGATTAAAGAATTTCATACAGGGTGTGAAGGTAATTGACAAATGTACTGCCTTTTCGCACTGTAACTATGGTAAATTCTTCACCTTTTGGTCATCTTGCCATAACCTCTTCACATAAATTACAATTACAATGTATTCTTCTAGACTACGGATTATCTACCACTCGTGTTCATAATTTGTATATTTATATACCACAAATGCAACAATTATGTACCCATCAAAAAGAAATAAAGTGATGAATTTTTTTTTTAAAAAGCCCTCTAATTTCATTGACTGACTGATTGACTGATTTTTCGCAATAAAGTGTTATATAGAAGCTTTTTGACTCATATCTCTCTGTTATTCCAGGTTGGGTTGGTGTGATAAGAGCGTGTTACCCTCTAGGATCCCTACCCAGAATGAATGAAACTAACGGATGTCACCAGTGGACCAACGACAATTTTACGGCCCGTTTCTGTTTTTGTGAAACTGATGGATGCAACAGTGAGATATAAAGGAAATGAAAAGCTAAAATATTGCATTAGCCTCAAATCAGAGACTGAACGACGATGTAACTTAAGATATATGAATAAATAATACTTGAATAATTCGCATTCGTATTTCTTGGAGCAGGAAATAATTTTGTCAATCAATTTGGGATACATATTGTACATATCAATGTCAATAACATGTCTGCGTATGCCGTCGCGAGTACGTGAGTGAACTGAGTTTAAGGCCGCCTTGAACTGTCACATGATGTGTTCCAGAGGAATGAGGCAAAATGCCACAGGTTACCTTAGTGATAATGAGTACGATCAAGGTTCTGACACACCAAGAATCACATCCACCCTCGGCTTCCAGGGTATTATTACTTATTGCACCTTACATAAATTGGAAGACTTTTGATTGGCTGTTCTAAACTAAATTTTGCAAAAGATTCCATACTGTTCTAAACTAGGTACTGTTTGATATATTGCAAAACAAATTCGCAACGTTGAAAAGTTTATTGTCATGAGTTCAGTAAATGATAAAAATCAGTGAAAATTGGCGAATTCTAAACAAAACTTAGTATGCTATTTTACGCAGCGGTTCACATGCACGACATTTGCAGATGTATTTCAGCAATATGATGCATGATCCTCGTGCAGTTCATCTGCATATAGTTTGCAGTTGGTTCCCCCAAGTTTGTGGAAAAATCAATCTTCGATATAACAATATATATATATATTGAGATACACACACACTCTCTCTCTCTCTCTCTCTCTCTCTCTCTCTCTCTCTCTCTCTCTCTCTCTCTCTCACACACACACACACACATACATAACATATAGTGAGTGTTTAGAGTGAGTCTAAACTTTTGATGGGAAATATATTAAAGCCGTTCCAATAAATCATCCATCACAGGGGATAACTATTTCAAAGTTTCATCGAGGAAGCATCTGTTTACTGTAAGTTCGTTTTTAGTTTTTGATTTTTAAAAAAAATTGAGTTACTAACAGTCAGTTACTACACACATTTTAATTGATGTGCTTTGTATGTGATAACAGATTTTACAATATTAGTAGAAAAATGTATAACTAAGATTGTTTGTGGCTGTACCCTTGAATGGGGGTTGAAGTATTGTAAATATACATCCACCTTATTTTCAATATACAACTCTCAGAAGTCAAGATATGGCTGAAATACTGCCGAAGTGACTTTTAACTCAATCACTCACTCCAATACACAAAATAGTATGAAGACTCTCTCTGTCCTGTGTATTATCTGAAGGTAATGTGGCTTACACACACACACACACACGCACGCACGCACGCACGCACGCACACACACACACACACACACACACACGCACACACGCACACACTTGCTAAAAGCGGCGTAAAACTAAACTCACTCACTCACTACTCTAAAGTTCCATGGTTGTGTTGTAAGTTGCATGGACATTTACCAAGGGGTTTGGGCTGTGGCATCCCTACCATTACTACGTGGCACATGGTTGTTTAACGTGTTCATTACCTATACATTTTTACATTCATTTTGTGTGTTTTTCCGGAACCGTTTTCCTTCTATTTCTGCTGCAAAGAATGTTGTCACACACTAAGATTACCGCTCGGTATTCGAAGGGACATAACTCTTGTCGGCTTAAAATGTATGTGTTAACGGACACGTTATTTCAAATACCACCGTTTAGTATATATCTTTAAGACCAAAATATTGCCACTTGATAGATTAAAAGTAACATCTTGGATATACTGGAGTGAGTGAGTGAGTTTAGTTTTACGCCGCTTTCAGGAATATTCCAGCAATATCACGGCGGGGGGACACCAGAAATGGCCTTCACATATTGTACCCATGTGGGGAATCAAAACGGGGTCTTCGGCGTGATCAACGAACGCTTTAGCTACTAGGATACCCCACCGCCCTGATATTGCTGGAATGTCGATTATTGGAAAGGCTCTCTTGTAATGGTCAGCCATTATGCATAAATGTCAATATGTCAATCATATGATGTGATTTTATAGGGGTTTTTTTATCTCTAATTGAGGTGTGTGAATCAGTGAACGGTTGTTGGTTATTTGGCCATTATTAAAGTCAGCGATAGATATGAAACTTAAGCTTACTTTGCTTGGCCAAATTACCTCGTGTTGCCCTACCCGAGAAGAAACTCACAGTCATAGATTCATAGGCAGAACAACACGCGAGGAACACATATAAGACGAAACCATTCAAGACGAAACCATTCAAGATGAAACCATATCTACGTTACTATAACTACCATAGTTACAATAACTACAATTTCATTTTGATTTTCAATACTTTTCATAAATTAGCCCCCCGTTCTGAAAACCGTTCCTACGCCCCTTCATAGATGCTGATCAAGGTCTTTACGACAATTTACTCGCTGTAACCAGGACGAATGTGAGATTCGAACCACCGTTCTTGAAAATCCTCAACGATTAAGGGTAGGTATATAAAAAAAATGTCGGCAGCAAAAGATATATTGGTGACAGCGACTACTTTGAAACAGTTAAAAACATTACCTAGTCTCCTAACATCTCCAGTCTGCGCAGTCTCGCTGACCTGGTTGACACATGTCATCGTATCCCAATTGCGTAGATCGATGCTCTTGCTGTTAATCATTGGAATGTCTGGTCCTGACCCGATTGTTTTCAGACCGCCGCCATATAGCTGGAATATTGCTGAGTGCGGCGTAAAACTAAACTCACCCACTCACTCCTTACCTTTCCTCGAATACCACAAGGTCGATCCTCTGCTGCTTCAGAATGACGCGACCGCCTCCGTGGTGTAGTGGTTAGAGCGTCCGCCCGGAGAGCGGAAGGTCGCGGGTTCGATCCCCGACCGCGTCATACCAAAAGACGTTAAAATATGGTACTTGTTGGTCCCTGCCTGGCGCTCGGCATTAATGGGTACATCAAGGACTGGTCGGCTCGGAGTCAGTATAATGTGTCTGAGTGGGGTATTCATGCTCCACTGCAGCATGGTATCTCAGTGGGCTAGCACTATAAAACCAGCTTCCGTCTGGGCTAGTACAAGCAGCCGCACATACACATACACACGCATGCACGTCGTCATATGAGCGAAATATTCTCAAGCACGACGTTAAACCCAATTTCACTTCACTTCACTTCAGAATGACGCATGGTCGAGTCAGAGCTGGTTTAAAGGATCGCACATTTACATGACAACATAAAATAGCATATTAACTGTAATGATTGTTTTGATATTTATATAACGTCAACGTCAAGGCTAAATGTCAGACAAGGGGCACAATAGCATTTATATCTCACAGGCAGCGATTTTGAACGTTTTACAAATGTTAAGTGGACCTATTAAACACAATTCACGACATCAGCGACCTGATCTACTTCAGGATTTACTCTGAAACATAAATTTAGCATAAATGGCATGCATCAACAGCCATCGGTCCATAAATTTCAAACTAAGTACAAGCTATGCATTCTTCAAGAAAAGTAATGAATCATGAAATGGAATGTTTATATAAAAACAACAGAAATAAGTGTTGACTGTGCAATAAAACATGACACAAAGACACATCCTATAATTTAAGGGGAGGGGTAGCCTAGTGGTTAAAGCGTCCGGTCGTTACGCTGAAATCCCGGGTTCGATTCCACACATGGGTACAGTGTGTGAAGCCCATGTCTGGTGTTCCCCACCGTGATAGTGCTGGAATATTGCTAAAAGCGTCGTAAAATTTTGCTCACTCCCTCACTTATAGTTTGCACGTGCTGCATGCAGTAGCGCCGCGCTGTGGACTATTATTGCCACCTGTTGAATTCATTCACTGGTTATGGATTGACGAGAAGAGGAACCAACAAACGGGTCATGTCTTCGAACTAGTCCCGATTTACTCCGCACTTGATTGAATAATTTTTCAAGGTTTACAGGTGATTTGACAACTGGACAAATTTACACGACGTTGAGAAACATAGTTTTGGCAATGCAATACATAGTGAGCCACATTGTTAGGCATGATGGTGCCTGGTCGACGTCCAGCTGAACGTTAAGCTAATATAAATAAAACTGAGGCAAATTTAGGCGTAGGGTAGAACCACAGACCTTTGTGTCGTTGCTCAAGGAAATCTCACAGGGTTGCCTACTGTCGAAAGACAAACGCCAGAGAAAAGGACTAATTCGTATAATTTTTCAGTTGCGGTTTCTGTTAGAATATTTACAGCAACACGTGGTCTCTTCTTCTATCGATCTGTTTTCGCTCAATTTGATGGATCTGTCAGACATATGTTTCAAATAATATTGCAGTTAAGGCTTCAGCTTGCATCCCGTCCAAAACATCTTAAATAATCACTGAAGCGTACGTACAATCTCTTCGGAATTATCTTGAAAAAAACACTTTTTTTTGCATTAAAAGCTTCTTATTTGCTTGCAGCGAAACTGTTTTCCCGTTGTTTCTGTAACGAAATGGAAATGCTAATATTTACGGCATACAGTAAAGGATGCTTAATGTATTTTCATGAATACACTGTCAAAACGGAACATGGTTTCCACCGACCGCGTTGATATTGGAGACGACGATATAAATTACAGCAGCGTGGTGACAGAGAGTCACAATCATGGTGTCGAAGCTGTTGCTAATCGTCAAGTGAGTGAGTGAGTATTGTTTTACGCCGCTTACAGCAATATTCCAGCAATATCCAGGCAGGGGACACCAGAAATGGGCTTCAAAACATTGTACCTATGTGGGGAATCGAACCAGGGTCTTCGGCGTGACGAGCAAACGCTTTTGACCACTAGGCTACACCACCGCACAGTCGACAGACTACGAACCTCCCACACATGGGTCACCGCCATTATCCCTAATGTCCTATAATACGACCGATTTATTGACATTTCGATCAGCTCATCGCCGTATTTACCATTAGGTTAGCATGATAAATTTTCTAAATTTTCTAAGCATTGTTCGGTATTTAAACACAGCGTGGAAGTAAGTATGTACTCAATTTTGACCAGAGAAAACAATGAACCAGTGAGTAATTTGGTGTTGACCATTAATTGTCCCTCCACAGATACTGCCGTGGTATAATGGAAGGAGGGTCATCATGGAGAGATGGT